CGAATAGTAGGACTAACCATCACGTTATAACACTTCCACAGCTGAAAGGGCGGGCATGGTTGGTGAGACAGATTGCGAGTCGAGCGCCCTAACCACCTGGCGATGCCGGGCCTAGTTGCAGTCCTAAAGTGAACAAACAGTAAAATGTTTCAGCTAAAAACTGTTATATGACCTGATGAAAAAACTCGGGACTTGCTGAAAGTTGACAGACAGTACACAGAAGTCACGATAAAACTAGACTTCCTATTATCTAATAAATAAATAAATGCATTATATACATCTATATGCACTACCTAGTTTTATTTCTTGTATGTTCTAATATACAGTAATGTAAATTTAATTTCCTGAAAATTATGTTCGCACGTCTTTTACTCTCAAAGCGTTCAAAATTTAATTTAACAGTGGAAAATAAAAATAAACTAAAATAAACCGCGTAAGTTTGTTTTAGAGTAAAGCCACACTGAACTTATCTACTATTTTCACCGCGAGGATTCGAACTCCGGATTTCAGCGTTATAAGTCCGTAAACTTACCGCTGTCCCACGGGGAGACAAATCGGTTCACACTAATAATAATAATAACACGTAATTAATGAAACGACATTATGTTGATTTTCATAAAAATGAAGAGTACTTGTCCGCTAAGTTAAAAGTTGGTACACCAAAATGACTTAATGATCTAACGAAATACAAGAAAATTAAAAACATTCCATCATAGGTATATCTTTGATGAAAAAATTGCCTTGCAGACTTTTATCACTAGAACTTAATATAGCTATTATACGATTAAATTCATTGTTTTCTTTTAAAAAGTAAAATTAACAATATTTGCAATGCAGAAAAGCATAGATGAGCTAACCGTTTGTGCTATATAAAAAAAAATCATGAAACCGTGAGCCTATGCCTCACATTTACAGTAATTAGTAGGCCTACTTATCCACGTGCTCTAATGTAAATCAATGCCAAATTTGTGGACCGTTTTTGGTGAATTCCGTAAACGTGTTTTCGCAAAATACTCGGGTTCCCTTATGGGTTGGGTGAAAAGGTTTACGGCCCCGGCATGGCCAGGTGGTTAAGGCACTCGACTCGCAATCTGAGGGTCGCGGGTTCGAATCCCTGTCACACCAAATATGCTCGTCCTTTCAGCCGTG